CCTGTTAAGTAGAATAGAATTATTAAAATGGTTTTATATTCGCTTCGCTTGCGACTGTTTTTTTGCATTCCGATTGCACAGATTCGAGTGTTAGTTAATGGAATTAGTTTATTTGCATTTGATTTGAATCGTGGCTTCAGTTAACTCTGATTGCGGGTAGCTGGGATGCTGCCCTAATACTTTTCACTTGTCCCACCGGTTAGAGAGAGGGATTGATTCTTTAGTTAATCATGTCTCAAGTTTTTGGTTGGTTGGTATAAACAGTTTCAGTAATCATACATATATTCGATCAGTTTAATTACAATTTAGAGCTTAGAAGTTACAGTTCCATATATATATATATAAGATTCAGTTGGTTGTCCTATGGGGTGAAGTTTTGTTGGTTTTTTGATTAGGGGTGACTCGACGACGGTCTGGTAGGTAAAGCTTTTTGGATATTTCATATTTCGTTATTTCGATATATATGTATAATGTTTAACATTTTATTTTTGCTCGCTTAAAATTAGAACATTTTGGTATATCCTTGAAATCTGAATCGATGTCTCAGAGAGCGCTGTAGCTGCTTTATTTGTTTGTTTATTACTTTTCGAATTCAATCCAATTGTTGCTAGCTGTCCGCAGTTAACAACAAATGTGTTTTGCAAAAAACCCGGAAATTGTGTTCAGTGTTGGGTGTTGGGTGTGTGAGTGTGTGTGGGGGTGTCGGTGTGTGTGAGTGAAACTGACAGATTGAATTATAAGCATACTTCTTGGCTGGCTAGGTAAAATCAATTCAAGTTGAAAACTAACCATAAAAAAGGTTTCCAAAATATATACAAAAACTCGTAGAAAGACCAATGTTTAATAATATATAAAAGAGTAAAGAATAACCCTGCCAGCCCCTATATCACTTAACTTTATACATATATATATTTAATTTCTAAGTGCTTTTATTGTTGCTAGTAAATACGTGTAATTTCCATACATTATACTTATACTTCCTTCCTCTTGCAATTCGCTTTCTTTCAAGGCCTACATTTGCTTTATAAGATACTTTTATAGAGACTTTTCTCAAATCTAACACCCATATATATATTTTCAAACCGAAGAAGGTTATGGTTAATATCTAGACATTCAGTGCAGTGTTCCGATTCGAATTTCGAGGAGAGTGAGTAGTGCAGGAACGGGCCTTCTACTTGCCTGGCTTATATAGGTACACATGGTTATGGTAGTAAATTTGGACATCAAGAATAACTTGCCTATTTGATATACACACATATACTCTATATATATATTTATGCATTCGCTATGGATGAAATCGCTTAGTAGGTGGTTTTAATTTTAGTGCATACATTCAATGTATAACTCGTTAAATTCTTATGGGATTATAGTCGGGGGCGTATATCCAGTTCCGGTTGCAGGTTTGCTCCGCTGGCCAGGATCCTTCACAGTCCACGCTTGGAATAGGTTGTAGCTATGTATATGTATATACTTAATTTAAACAACTTGACTTTGGAGCTCTTCGATAGCAAGATATCGTAGCATATCCTTGGGGCCAATTGGTTACGTGGGGGAGGAGGGAGGATGAGATCAGTGTGACATGCTTGTGAGCCAATAATTACCAGCCAGAAATAGTTACCAGTCCGGTAAAAAAAGAAAACGCAAATTTTGGTTTGTTTTGTTTCGAGGTTTTTAAAATGTTTGTGTATTTTTTTTCTTCAAAGAAATTTCGGTTTGTTCTTGTCATTCATTCGCTTGCTTGCTTGCTTGATGCTTATAGTTTTTCTTCGACTGTGGTTGCAATTTTTACAATATTCGTAAATATATAACTTGTATATAGCTTTATTCATATATATATTTTTGTATAGATATAGGCGCGAGTTCTTAGCATTTGGTTTGTTTGCTTTTGCCCCTCGAAATATTGTAATTTTTGCCCAAACACTTTTTAGCATAGTTTAACAAGTTTTCTGTGTGTCTGTGTGGTGTGGTTGTTTTCACGCCATTCTGACTCTGGCCATGCAAACGAAGATAAATATTTATGCAAGTTTTGATTTGGAAATTGAGAAACTCAGACAATCCAGCCGCCTCCAATGCCACAACTGACGCACTTCAACAACTCCAAATTAGAATTGGAAATGCACCACATCGCGTCCTGACATCGACTCTCGACTTGCAGGGCCTGCTTTTTGAAAAATGTTTACATTTTCGGTTAGTTTTTGGGTACTTATTTTCTTTGTTAAGAGTTTAGTTTAGAAAAATTCGTCAGTGTCATTTGATTAGAGTTAAATTTTTGCCCGCAAGTTAGGTTTTCTTTTTCAATATAGGTTTCTTCTCTCATTTCATTTCTTTAAAACATTGCACAAATTTCGCTACAAAATGTTACCTTCTTTTTATTTTGTTTGTTAAAAAAGTTATAGAAAAGTGTTTGTTGTTTTTTTTTTTTTTCAATATGATTTTTGTTTTGTTATTAATTATCATTAGCGCAAATGGTGTTTTGTTCAAATTTTGTCGTTGCCCTTCAGAGCGTTCTTCTGTCCCAAAGTCAAGCACAAACACAAAAAGGGATTATAAAACCCGACTTAAATATTATAACGTAGAAAACACGCAAGATTTGTTGCCGTCACTTTGGTAAGTTATACTCACAGTTGATTTATGCAGTGGAGAAGAGTAGTTGCGAGTTGGCGTTGGAAAGATTGGAGATGAGGCGAGGTGTGGCGGTGTAGAGGTGTGTGGGGGTGTGTGGCGTGAGGTGTATGGACAGATAGACAGATAGATATAGTTAGATAGATCGTTAGCTAGAAGACATCACGACGAAGAGTTAGTTAATCGTTATCGTTACAGCGTAGGAGATAAAGGAAACAAGGCTTTCGATATGAAATTAAATTAAAACCAAGTACAATTCGCGCAGACTTTTCTGGTTTACACATAGAGAAATAAGTTGGGGTAGACAGAACAGATAGTTGCTATAGTATATATAGTAGAGTGGCGGTTGTGGTAGTAGGAGTAGTAGGAGGTTTTGGAGGCTGAAGCTTGCGGTTGCTGCGGTGCCAGGGGATTGCGATTCGTTCTCTAACTTCAACTTAAACCATTATGTTCGTATATTTACTTAGTTAGCTCTTGCGATCGCTTTTCGCTTGCTTATGCTTTTGCTTTGGTTTACATCGCCGCTTTTTTTTTGCTTAAATTTAAGACAATTGTCTTTGCATTTTGCTAGTTTAATTCATATGTATAATTTATTTATAAATATATATATGTATATATATATATTTGTGTTAATATATATATAACTGTTCCGATGCTGCTGCTTCGTGTACATCGTCTTCTGCTGTTGGTTTGTTGTTAAGAGAGTTGTCTTCTTCTTTGGCAGGAGCATCCGGCGTTGTTGATCGATGCTCCCCTTAATCGTTATCGTTATCGTTATCCTCCATACTACTTCTTCGTCCTTCCTTCCTTTTTTTATATATGTGTGTGTTTGATGAAATCGTCTCCTCCTTCCTTCTTCTTCGTCCAGCTCTTCTGCCGCTTCTTCGCTTCCTCGCATATAAATATTTAATTTTATATTTCTTTATAATAAAATTATATTACTTTAGACTTTTGGTTTTATTTTCGCATTAAGTACATTATGTATTTATACGTACATATATATATATAGAGTTCCTTTCATATTTATATTTGTAATAGTAATATTCGGTTGCTTTGCTTTGCTGCTCGCTTAAGTACTAAAGAAATGTGTGTTTGCTGTTGTCGTGTTCTTTTGTGGCGTTTTTGCATTGTTAAATGTTAAATCTGCTCAAATATATATATATATTCATATTCATATTCATATCGCCGCTTGTGGTTGCTGTAGTTGCAGTTGTAGTTGGTGTAGAGTTGCTTAAGTTCGCTACAAATCGTGCCGACAAATCGGCTGCCTATCAAGGACCTTTTGGACTGTGGTCCTGCTGGTCCTCGTTACAGCCCCCAAAAATATGCTATGCTTCTCCTCTGCTGCGCGCCACATTTTTGGTTTTTTTTTTTTCGTTTTAATTTAATTTTATATCGAAAATGTATTTGTAGTTGGTTTCTTTTTGTTTTTTTTTTTTGTAATTTTTATTTGTTTTATTTGTTTTTTCTTTATATTTATTAATTTTAAATTTAAATATAATTTAATAAGAAGAATTTGTTGTTGTTTGATTTTACATTATTTATAATATATATATGTTGTATTTATAATATATTTTACTTCTTGTTTTTTTTTCTGACATGTCTGTGTGTGTGTATGTGTGTGGAAGAGGGTGTGTGTGTGTGTTTTTGTGGAGGGGTGTCGAGTGTATGAGAGTGTCTATATAAACTTTGCCAGTTTGCAAAAATTTCAAATATTTGTTTCTTTAACAGTTTTTGTTTTATTTTGTATTTTTATTTGTTGTTTGTTTTAGCTTTTTTATTTTTATTTTCTTTCTCGCAACGAAATCGACAAATTTGTTCTTTAAACACAATTTTACTAGCTTACAGATTCGGGTTTTTCAATCGCTTTTCCTCTTCAAAAAGGAAAAACCGACAAACAAAATGTGCTGCTGCAGCCGCCGGTCGCTGTCGCCAGGTGGCGTTGCCCATAGTGCAATGCCGCCATCTAGTGGCAAATACTTTGGTGATGCTACTGCTGCTGCTGCCCTTTTGCTTCTCTTCCTCTTCTGCTTGCAATTCTTCTCCATTGGATTTATGTTAAAGTGTTGTGGTAAACTTGCTGTTGTTGTTATTCAACTGATAACATGCGATTCTTGTTGTTGTGGTTGTTGTTGTTGTTGCTGCTGGTTGTTGTTGTTGTAGTTTTAAACGGTGACTTCATTAAGTATGCTGTTTGTTGTTGTATTTTGTTGCATTAAAATTATGTTTTTTTGTTTTTGTTTAACCTTTTTTGCTGTCTCTCTCAGTTTTTAATGTAATTCTTTTTTGTTTTTCTTTCTGAATTCTGTTTCTGTTTTTCTTTTTTGTTACATCTTTTGCTTGTTTAAATTTCTTTTTCTTTTGCGTTTTTTAAGTGTAAGTTTCATTGGTTTTAAAGTTTCTTAAATGTTTTTTTGCTTCTTATTCTTCATTATGTTGGTTGTTTTTTGCTTAACTCTTTGTTGTTGTTTTGTTTTTTGTTTGTTGTTTTTTTTTTTAAGATCTTTTACTGGGGTCCATAGCAACAGCGTGGCGCGATGTTATTGCGCACAGCTACAGTCTTCGTCAACATCTTAAAAAAATAGAAAGGCTTAAAAAGAAATAATTTAACGCTTCACTTCGATGTCATCATAGTCACGAATTCTGCAATCGAAAAGAGAAGAAATTTGAATTAGTTTTGGATCATTAAAGGTAGTAATAACGATTTTATTGATAAATTGGCAGTTTGTATTTGGTTTTTGATTTTTTCATATATAAATATATTTTTTAATTTGTCATTGAAGTTACATTCCCGAACTATGTAAGATAAACTACACAATCTCATAAAATCAAATTGCTTTCATTATCACCAATTTATTTTGACATATTCCTCATACAAAACACACTCGACCACTTAGGCGCATAACAAAGTCACTCAGCTGACACTAAACAAAAAAAAATTTCACACAATAAATCAAGTATCGAAAATAGCTGAGCGCTGTCATTAACCTTCTACTAAATTAAGAAGGCAATTAATCAATACGAGCAAACGAGCATTACACCATGGCTGCTGCATCAACAACAAGCACCAACAACACCAATAGCACCAACAACACCAACAATACCAACAACAACACCAACAAAGGCACCTAATCAATAAGACAAACGAGCAAGTCACGAGATGTCTGATGAAAACACTTGGCCGCAAACACACACTCGATATACAGCAGGGGTCAGGATAATAGGAATATTTTAATATATAAATTAAAACAACTTTTATTGAATATAATATATACTATGATCTTTTACCCCAAAATAAAGTTGTTGTTGTGAGACTGATTGTATTACAAGCTTTTTATTGAAAATTATTATTATTAGTAATATATATAATTAAGCATTATCCCCTTGACCTCTAGTGTGCCTATGCAGACTCTATATGCTAGTCTCTCTTCACAAGGCAAATTTATTGAGTGCAAAGACTCAGACAGTCAATCGCCACAGATTATATACTCTCCTACTTTTCCTCATCCAAAAATAGAAAGCAGAGGATGCTGCGACGGAAGCAGAATGCAATAAAGACGCTGTCTCTGCCGCATTGTTCGCGAATTGATGGATACCACAGGAAAAAAAAAATTAAATGGGAGAAAAGGAGGAAATTCTGCATCATCGGCTCAATCAATAGACAACTACAATGGAAGGGTAAGAAACCACCGCCACGAAGAACGAAGAGTGTGTGTTGGTGTCCCCAATTTATCAGGTGTTTGTCTGTTTCTATTTTTAAAAGGAGGAAAATTCTTTGCCTTTCTCTGTGCTGCTGCATCTGTTCTCGTTGATTGCATGTCTTTCTCTTGATGGTCGTTTCGATTTTCCTTCTTTTTTTGCCTAGGGTGACTGCATTTTTGAAATATTTAAACAAAAAAGACAAGAAGACACAGAGGCAAAAAGAGAACAAGCTAATTGAGTGGGCGTGTAATTGGGTGGGTTTTTCTGTTTTTTTGGGGCCAATGGTCAAGATTGTTCAGTTAGAGATATAGTGAAGAAATCCTTTAAAAACCTTTAATTGCAATCTTAACCACTTAATAATACAACAATTAAGCTTTACGGAAACCAAGATAACTAATTCCTAAGTGCAAATACCAGTTGGCCTAGTTACTAGCCACAATCTAATCTATATTTCTGGTTAAGTTAAGAAACCTTAAAGGTGAAATATTGATGTCTAGCATAGAGGACCCTCTTATCAAATGCTTCTCATGCAATCGATGGCTATTATCAAGGTTTTATGGGAAATTTAACCCGACATTTAAAATATTGTTATTTCAGGCTAACACTCAAATGGCCAACACACAACACACCTTTTCTAATAAAGCGAAAACCTTTTTCGGCAGGCTTAAAAATAAAATGTTATTAGTCAAAGTTCAGGCAACGCCCGGAAAAGGGCTAAGCCGACTTGGTATGCAAAATAGCCAAAGAGCTTACAACCCCCAAAGGGAGAGCTCAAGCCCTTGACATTTGCCCACATGCAAATAATGCTCCTCCTTCTCGACATTCGCTCTTTTGATTACATCTCTTGGTCCTAAAACATCACAGGTAAAAAATACCCACACACCTTAAGGACACGCCCATTAAATGACCGGTTTTCCACTAAGAGAAAATATTTATTATTTAAAATCAAAGCATAGGATACCAAAATTTCCCATAAATTAAGAAAATTCTACATTTCCGAGAACTCTAGGTTTCTTAAAATGCTTTTAGTATTAGTCATTGTTGTTTTAAAAATGATAATTACTTTTCCCAGAAATGATATTTTATGACTAAACATTTCACAAAGATAATAAATTTCTCTGTAACTAAACCCAAAATGATTACCTGTAAAACACCATTTCTTGTAGTGTATTTAACTCGCGAAAAATAAAGGTTAAAGCTAATTTTTTGATGACCCGAGCAATTAAAATGATATTAGGCTCAACTTTTCCAGCTGCCAAATATATATACATATATACAATATTTAGTAAATTTTTGTGCATTTTATTTAAACCGCACCACCCATTACGTCGCTGTTTGGCGGTGGTTTTGCTGGTGGTTCTGCTGTTTATCTTTCGTCGTTTTGTTTACATTCGCCAAACTTACTCGTTGTATCATTCCTAAGGTTCTTTTTCTCACTCTCCCTCTATATAAGATAGATATATATTTGCATTTGTATTTTTGCTACCAAATTCCAAATTCAGCAACACATCTTTCTCACTGGGATGTGTTCATTTAATTTGCCTCGCCTCTGCGCTAATGTTTAATTTGTTGTTCTTTGTATTTTGTTTAACATTTTATTTGATTTTCGACTTGCTGTTCTCCTTGCTGCTTTCTTCCCTTAGCACAGCATTTGTATCTTGTATCTTGTATCTGTATCTGTGTCTGGCATGCGGCCAAAGTAAGTCTCATCTCATTCCCAAATCCCCCTCCAATATCTCTTCTTTTTTTTCTGTGCATATTCATTGTTTGCGCCATATAATTTTCACTTGCAAAATTACCAAAATGTGTATGGGGATGGGGTGGGTGTTGTTGTGCGGGTGAGAAGGTGGGGTTCTTCGGACCCGGCACACACACTGTGTATCTGTATGTGTGTGTGTGTGTGTGTATAGCCGGCAAGACAACAATAAAGACTTTGGTTAATTGGCAATAAGCGAAATGGCAACAATGCGCATTTTATATTTACGTTATGCTGATTCCGGCGGCGAGTGAGATTCATTCGGTCAATGTTCATGCCATTCCATCCTCCCCTCACCCCCTGATTCGCCCCGGGGAAATTAAAGAATATTGCACAATATTTATATATATATATAGATATATTTAATTTTAATTGTTGTTTCCCATTCGCACTGTTGCCGTGGGCTGTGAGCTGCTCGGTGTGTGAGCTGTGTGCCGTTTGCCCCGGCAGGTTAATCATTTAAGTGTGGAATGTACGCGCGACATTTATTTTGGCTTTTAAAAACATTTCAATTTAAGCGGCAGGAAAAGTGGCGAAAGGCATTAAAAAAAATGCTGATTGGGAGCAGCAGAAGCCACAGGAAATAAATGGCAAGTGAAATATGGCTAGCAAATAATGGTTTAAAATGTTAAGAGGAGAAAACATTTTCAATTATTCAATAGAAACTTAAATAATATAAGCTTTATATCCTTTAACTTCTTTAAACCCTAACAAGAAAAGAAACTAACTTTGGGCAGCGTAAGGAAATATACCCTTGCAATTTGCAATTGATGCTGATCAAGAATATATATGATTTATAGGGTCGAAAATGACTCCCCCACTAAGTTCAAGGCTTCTTACTAAAATAATAATACCCTGGTAAAGTATAAAAAACAAGCTTATGCAATTATCTTTATATTTACCCCTTAAACGATTTCTGTAAAATCCATGTTCCACGTAACTCAATACAATCCCATTATCTGACAATTTAAAGTGCCCTTCAACTAATCTTGATCTCTTTTCTATAGCTCTTTATCTCTTTTTTCCTGGTTTCTTTGACATTAAATCAGACACTACAAAACAAAAAATACCACTAAATCCTCATTTACTCAGATCAACGTCTCGCTTTTGTTAGATTGTTTAAACTTTTTGTTTGCTATTTTTATGTATTTTGTTCATAAATTACTTGTGATTAATCTATTTGATCCGAGAAATGCTTGCAGCGGTAGCCAAAAACGATTTCTATTTGAACTTGAGAGAAGGAACGTAGAAACATATATACTATACACTATATATATATAATGTATAGGGGAAAATACTGTCCGATTTTAATTGCTACTTTGCCGGCCTCCTCCCCGGTTTTCTTTGAGCGTTCGTTCGTTCATCACAACAAAAGGAAATTTTAACGGAAAGACCCATCGGGGCAGTAGTAGGTGGAGGATATGCCATGGAAAATCTGTTAAAAACTAGCTCATACTCAAATATTTGTTTCATTTTCTGTTATGTACTCTGAAAAAATCAATTTTCAAGCAATTAAAAAATTACAAAGAACACAAAACACGAAAATTTTCAAATAAAAATGTGCTAGTGCACATGGCAAGTGATATATGTATATATTTCCCTCTCTATATATGTAGATATACATCTGTATAGTGTATATAGCTATAAGTATTACTATAATGAGTCAGTCAGAGAGCAACAGAGACGAGGCGCAGAGAGATCATGTGAATTAGTAAAGCCATATGACACAGACAAGTGCCAATTGTGACTCAAATGCAATGCCATGATTCAATCGTTGTTATAGTTGCCTGGCAGGTGTAAATACACAACAAACAAAACACACACAGAAAATAGATCCAATTAGTGGGCCAACACGCGACACACAAAACACTTAAATATCGGGTCATAATATAGCGGAAATAATGTAACCGGGCAACACCTTCTTACGAAAGCGAGTGAAAAACATTGAGGGAAAAGTCCAGATTTCATCAGTTAATTGCAAAGGTTGTTAAGAAACTATACAAGTTCAAGATATATCTATGCAAGAGGTTTATAATTTCAAGTTTAAAGTTTAAATACAATCAAGGGTTCTACAAGTTCTTCAATATTATAAAATATGCCCTTTAAAATTTATGAAAACCTGCATTTATCAAGACACAAAACCTAGGGTTAACTTTCCTTTCTCAAGTCTCCAATTTAAGTCTTCATTTCATTCATTATTTTTTTCTGTTTTATAGATTGTACAATTCATAAATAAAAGCTTTACTCAAACAAAACCTAGATTGTTAGCAAATACTTATGTCTCTTTTAAACTAACAATAAAAAATAAAACATAAACCCTGCCAATTTATCACTTAAACATCGAATTATTTATTAAATTTAGATCTGATTAACTTACCTTCGTAATTGACCTGACCATCACCATCGATATCAGCCTCACGGATCATCTCATCGACCTCCTCGTCTGTGAGTTTCTCGCCCAGATTTGTCATCACGTGACGCAACTCGGCCGCCGAGATGAAGCCGTTGCCATCCTTATCAAACACTCTGAAGGCTTCCCGGATCTCCTCTTCGCTATCGGTGTCCTTCATTTTGCGTGCCATCATTGTAAGGAATTCTGGGAAGTCAATTGTGCCGTTGCCTGTGATGGAAGAGGATAACAATTAATGTTCAGCTTCCATTGCATACTTTTCTGGGTGCGAGCGAGGAATGGGTTCTGCGGGGAGGCCATCATCAATTTAAATTCCACCCAGGGCGTTGTTATAATAAATTCAAGTCAGGGATAAAGACACCAAAACGAACGTTTCTCTTCATTATGTCAAAGTTTGCTCACCCAATCCTCCCGAGCGCATCATCATAATGCCTCCAGAGGGGGGTTGTGTACACTACTTAAAGCCCCTCCTCTCACCACCTCTGGGCTGCCCTTGTGCCCCGGCAGAGAAATCCCTGGGAGCCATATAATCGAGCATATTTTCATATTTGCCTAAGCCCCAAAAACAAACTTTCTCCCTGGGTTAAAAAGGAGGCCATAAGGACACGTGTGGGGAGCCACCTTATATAAAGTGTGGCATATAAGTCTGCCTAATCCCGTTTCTGTTAAATCACTTGCCCAACCTTATCTCGTCCAAGGATGTTGGATGCTATGGATCCTTTATGGCAGTCTGGCGGTTCACCGGAGCGGAATGAAAATTTGTTAAAGAATTTATACAAACATTTTCCTTTCCTCTTTTGGAGAGAGAGAGAAATACAAATGAAGTGGTCCGCAGGACCAAAAATTCTTGTTATACTAATTGAAAAAGTTTCCTTCGACTTGACTGGGTTTAAAGTTGCAAATAGTTGGCTTGGCTCTCCTCTCGTTTCTCCGCAAATAAAAGCGGCAACAACTTTTGGCCTTAATTGTTATTGACTGACTTTCGCCATTTCCCAGAGAAAGCCCTCCCGGTTTTCAGTTAGCCAGAAGAGCCTTTTGTCCATAAAATGGTACAGAGATGTATAAAATGTTTTTCAGTTTTCCATTTTCTACCCTCAAAACCAAATGGAGCATGCAGCTCCTCTCTGCCTCTCTCTCTTATTGTGGCTATCATTTTGTTTCTTGTGAATTGAATGTGTGTTTTTTTATTACTTTTTGGGAAATGGGTTTTCCACACTCCCGAACAGGGAAAAACTTTTCGCATATGATTGCCAAAACAACCGAAAGAAACCTCCTCAACAGCCATTTAGATTTAATGAAAATGATAAGTTATATATCAAAAAGTTTCTCCAAGAACAAATGAGAGCATTCGCCTCAGGTCAAAGAACATTTTAAGATTATAATCTAGGAAAACACATAACCCCAGAGCATAATGTTCAACAAAATAAACAAATAAATCGGAATTCAAGAGAGAAATAGAAAACATGGTTTATAAAAAATAGAAAAAACAAATTAATTTCAGCTAAAATAAATAAATCTGGAAGCGATACCATTTCAGCTAATTGAAGTATTATTATTAATCAATAAGGTACCACATTGAGTGCCAAAAAAATATATAGATAGAATATATATTTCGAAAATAGCTTAGAGAAGAACATCAAATAAAATATCGACGGGTGGTGGTTCAGTCAATTCCCCAATTTTTGTGTTTCAATTTCGATTTTCGGTTGTTTGGTTTGCTTGTTGTCTTTGCCTCCGTTTTCTGTTTCTGTTTATGATTCTATTTAAAACATTTGACGCGATTTTCTGTTGCTTTTGGCTTTGTCGATAGGATTTCCCCAAAAACGAGAAGAAGACCAAAAATACCAGCGTTAAGAATCATTGAGAAATTTCTTGCCATTTTGGTTAGACGCTCCTTAGACTTTGACGCGCATCCCAATTATGATGTTAGCCCCATTTGCCTTTCGCCATTAGCGTCGCCATGTTGATGGCCAATGTCTGGCGGGGTTTTCGGTTTCCATTACGCTTTTCCTCAGCTGAAACTCTTTCCCCCACAGCCGTCCCTCTCAGTTTTTCCGATTCGCAACGTTGCTCGCAAAATTTTGCAGACAATTTAAAATTTTAATAAGAATTTATTTATTTTCCCCCCGCTCTCTCTCTCTCTCCCTGTGTCTTTTGTGAGACGCGCTAAATTTAGTTTGCAGGCAGTTTTCTATGCTTCTTGGATTTACAGTCGAGGTTTAGTAAGTTGGATTTATGGTTTTTGAAACTTGAAATTAAGGTTTCACAAGAAAGAAAACTAACTTCGGGAAGCCAAAGATTAAATACCCTACCAGCTTGCAATTGAATCATAGGTTCGATCCGGAAATCCATCATAATTAAGCTCAAAATGCATTTTTTTAATCAATAAAAAACCCATTTTTATATGACAAATTGTTCAACAAATCAAAGTTTAAAATTCTCATAGCTTAGCCAAAAATTCATTAATTTTAATTCGGAAAGCAGGTTTATGTTAGTTTTCATTAGGTTAATAAAGCAATTTTAACGATGTAACTCCTTATAAAATTTAAAAAAATAAATGTAAAAAATGTATTATCTTTCCTACATGCCTCGAAAGATTCGCCTGTTGATGCTGATCAAGAATATATATGATTTTAAGGCTCGGAAATGAGTCTTTCACTAACTTAAAGGCTTCCGACTAAAATTAAAACACCCTGGAAAGGTATAAAAAAAGTCTTTGCCTTATTATAAACTTTGCATACATGGCGTATACTTAACGTGAAAACCCTTATATTAAGTATACGCCATGTGTTTCTTAGGGAAGAATAGCTTTAAAATGTACAAGGGGAACCAGTTTCAGTTAAAAAGCAAGATTGGCAATTCAATTATTAGATCGAATCGGAATTGAATGATAACTGAGTTTTAAATGGCAATTTTTTCGACAAATCAAATTTAACAAATCCCATAACTAAGCCAAAAAAGTATTAAGTTTCATTCCGAAAACAGTTTTTATGACTAGATCAAGAATATATATGATTTATAGGGTCGGAAATGACTTCTTTACGAAGTTTAAGGCTTCTAACTAATATGATAATAAGCTGTAAAAGTATCATTTATCATTTATTACCTTTATAATTTTTTATATAATTTAAAAGGCTTGCAATAATATGTACATGTTCCTAGAATAGCTACGTCGCTGTAGATTATTAATTCTGTTCTCTTCTGTTTTTTTGCTCATTTTATTTTTATACCACTGGACAAACCCATTTGGCCTCTGCTTAAAAAATACAAATCTAAAAAAAAGGCAACTAATGCGGTCGTTTGCATGCAGTTTGGCCATCGTCATCGTCATCGTCGTCGGCGCGACGCCAACAAAATGTTAAGTAATGAATGTTTAATGTTTCCGTCAGATTTCTGGCCTGCCATGGAGAGTAGGCGACAAGTGAGTGGGATGATTTTGTCCAAAAGTTCGAGCAGAAAGTGCATTCCACTTGGGTATAGTAAATTAGAGAGAACATCTCTCATGCCTCACTTTTTTTTATTCCCCCCAAGTAATTTCAAATATTAAACGCTGGAAAATAAAGTTGGCAACACATTTGGCTTTCCACTCAATGAAAAAGTTTGCAACATATGCAAATTCCAGCGAATAAAGTGTGGGGGAAAACTATTTTTAGCTCTGATAAAGACTAAGAGTCCCCACCCAACATTGCACCCCTTTGACTGTCGTGGAAAAAATGAAAGAAAGAAATGGGGGGAGGAAGTGGAGTGTGGGAAATTGTGCGAGAGTTTTTCCGGCGCCTGCGCTCAAAGAATTTCCTGTGTGCAGGACACCGACGAGACTTTGCAGATTTTGTCCTGGATATTTTCAACAACATGCGCACACAATTTCCACGTGCAAGCGCAACAGAAGCAGCAGCAGCAACAACAATAAAAGCATAGGAAAATCTAGCAAAGGAAAAGCTGGCAAAGAAAATGGAAACATAAAACAGGCAACAGCAGCAACAAAAGCAAGTTGGGCGGGGACACCTACCAAAAAAATAGTTATGAAAAAATAATGTTGGGGGAAAAAACGAGGGAGGAAAATAACTTTTTCCCAAAGACTTGTTACGCTTTGATGTGTTTTAGTTCTTGGAAAAATAAAGATACAAATATATCTTTGAAGTAGGGGCTAGAAAGAAGAAAGTCTAAAAGATATAAATTCAAGCTTTCTTAGTCAAGATTAAAGAAGAAATTTAAAAGAAACTAGAACAGGCAGTTTTCTAACATTTGCTTGCCTCCCAAACAAGATCTAAAAACTTAATTAAAATATAACAAAAAGCAAAGCATATATCAACCTCCTTTAATACAATAAATGTCAAAAAACTATGTTCTTTTGTTCACTAAAAGTTTAAGTTTAGCCACTAAATTGAAAATAACAAAAATACTCCAAGGAAATAATAAAAAATAACACACAATTTCCTCTCAAAAATCATGCAAATTTTTCTTCAAGAAGAAAAGAGAGCATTTCCCCCATAATTTGTTTCCACTTTCTTTTGCGAGAACATTTGGGGCAATCTAGTTTTTTGGCCAAAAGGTGAAACACCTCAACGCTATAAAAACGGGCGACACATTTTCCATTTTCCGATTTTCCCCCACCCCCTCAAATTTTTGGCGCGAGGCGTGAGGCGGCGCCTGTCGCTCGATTTCCTCCGAGAGTCAAAAATAAAAATTGATCTTTGCGAATATTTCTTTTTCTGTTACACTAAAACCACCTTTTGTCAAGTTATACAAATATATACACATATTATATTCTACAAATAATAGGAATAAAAACAAAAAGGAAACCATCAGAAGAAAAGAAGGAAAATACAAATTCTGACAGCAGCCGCGCTCTGCCAAAAGACAAGAGCCAAAATATTTTAGTCGTCTATTTTTAATGGCTATGACGTGTTTTTGTTGCATATTTTTAGCCAAGAAATGATTTTTATTTTCACCCATTGTTTTGTCGTACAAATATTGGTCTGATCTATGTCTGTCTGCGAGAATACAAACGATCCAAGAGACCCGAGTGTGAGAGGGATTAGGCCCAGAACAGCAATAGATTTTGGGTAAACAAAATTAGACAACCCGGGAATCTTAACGGGAACGGGAACGGGCCAAAAGGTGTTCACACTAGTGTTTGTTTATCACTGGCCCAGAACCGAAACCATAGCAAATCGGCCATCATTTGCACATTATATATAGTCGAAGCACCCTAAACTCTGACTTCATCGAATGGAATATTCAGAAAATTAAACTGGATTAGTTATGCTTCATAAAATGGAACCCTAAATAACCGTAGGAGTATATATTTTATGACTAGAAAATGCAATTACAAAGACTCTGTTTCCAAGGTTTAATAGTTTTTGTCTTATGAAGTTTTTTGTTTGTAAATTTATCTGAGAAGGGTTTATCTTAAGATTCTCTAAAGATTTCCTCAATAATCATCTATTTATCCCCAAGTTTCTATAACAACAACTGACTGACTTGATATCTTTAAACAACGCCCCTCTTGGATCCTTTTTAATGATGGGAATCCCCTAAAAATGGTCTCGAAGTCTCTCCCCTGTACTCACCGTCGGCATCAACCTCGTTGATCATGTCCTGCAGCTCGGCCTCTGTGGGATTCTGTCCCAGGGAGCGCATGACTGTGCCCAACTCCTTTGTTGTGATGGTGCCATCGCCGTCTTTGTCGAATAGCGAGAATGCCTCTTTGAACTCGGCGATCTGTTCCTCTGTCAGCTGATCGGCCTGCAAACAATTGATAGGAATTCATTATTAATTAGTTGTCATATAGAATAATATAAATACCGCACCATAATGAGTTTGTTAATGCAAAAATCGTTGTCTCTAAATTGCTTAGAAAATAAATATTACAACTATTGATTACCAATTGAGCGAGTAGAAGTTTTTTTGTGAAATACTTTTCAATGACATCTCGATGGCATTTCAAAGTCACAGCATGGAAAACTACCCAAGAATACAATTAGGAATAACAAAAGGAGCGAGAGAGAATAACAATTGTGTTTAATTTGAATAATTTTTGTGTATATGTATGTATATTGTAGGTCCGGGGCAATTGTATCTTTACCTCTATATCTATGCACCGGTATCTCCGCCAAAAAGGTGTTAAGTTTCCGCTGAATCAACAAAACAAAACCTGACGTCAGCGGAGGAGAATAAACAAAAGACAAGGAACGATTCTGAAGAAAAGGAGGGGCCCCAGGGCCAGAAGAGGAGACGACATCCAATACCATTTTGATATTCTTTTCGCATTGGTTTATATATTTTTTTTTATTATTATTGTCATTTCGGAATGATGTGTATGTGACATGAAACGTGCGAGTTGTCAGTCTGGGAAGAGCCGGAAAACCTAGCCAAATATGATCTTCAGGGTCTCTCTGGTTTTGCCTGTTATTTGTTTAATGGCATAAAAATGTTTATTCGAACAACTCGAGCTTTGCGGCGATAAGCTCAATAAATGCGCTGAATATATATTTATAATATAAGGCCTGGTTTGACTTGACTGGCTGCATATATCAGAGCGATAATTGTTCTTATTAATCATGAGGCAAAAATGCAAACGCAAACTTTGCCTGCGTCAGAGTATGACTTTTATATTATATATGTTTGTTCAAGCTGATAACTGGCCAGGGGTAAGTACCATATAAAAATAATGCTATTTGTTTGCTAAGCCTGTATCATTAAATTTGTATTTGATTATAGCTCAATTTAGTCTATAAGTTTATAAGAGTAATTGCTATTCTTTTGGTTTCTGAGATCAATAGTTTAACTTTAACTGTTGAAACACTTCCACAACTTTTAAGATAAAGCCACCTCCTATCTAATCATTAAATTGAAGGTGTTTTTCTTTTTCCTTTTAAAATCACACGCAGACCCACCTTTTATGGACAACTTCCGTTGCAGAAGAAATAGCAAGAATAGTACACCAAATCAACAATTGGCATTGGAATTATAGCGCCCTGCTCTTGACCCTTATCTAATCTCGGCATTTTGGGTAAATTTAAACAGTAAATACCAGTACATTTGGCTTGGTTTGCTGCCTGCCAGACTGCCACCTGTTTTTTACCTCATTTTTTTTTTTGTGGAGTTTGTCGCGTTGGCGTTCAATTGAATTTGCCCAGCTTATCTGCCAGCAGATAAAGCGCTTTCCACCAAGGGGTTATGTCATTGGCAGGCGTGACTAACTCAGATCCGAATCAAAATCCATAAGCTCTCTCTCTCTCTTTAAATGGTGACACAAATGCAAATAACAACAAAGCCCCACCCACCAGATAGATCCATTAATGGATCGTCGTTAATCGGTAGGAGGCATATTGGGGGCGGTGGGTGGGTTGGCCTAAGGCCTAATTGGTAATCCATTTATATGCACAATCAGACGCCCACGGCAATCCGGAGGAGCTCCAATATCAAGGCAAAAAAACAACACACTGACTGCTGGAATTTTTCGCCATTTTTGCAATTTCCAAAGAGGAGAGCAGGACTCAAGCTGTGTGTACTTATCAAGCTAATTCTTATTTATTTTTATAACAGTGAGTCATGGCTTTTTTTGTCGCCAGGGAGTTGCAAATGAGTTTTAATTTAATAAATATTAAATGAAGACCTTTAAAAATGTAAAAAAGAATTTATATTTTCACTTCCAACACTTAGATTTATCTATGTTCAAGTCATGGCTATTACAATATAAACTCTGATTATGATTCATAATTTATTTATTCACAAAGTACAGTTAATACTCATTTCTTTGACTCATGTACAATTTTTAACAGTAGCTTATGCTCCAAAACGAGTTTTTAACTTAAACTTTATGTTGAATTCAAGTTTGCCGGTTTACCGTTGTTATTTCTACTTCTTTTTTTGTTGTATAATTTTTTATTATTTGCCGGTAGCAACCGGTTTAGTTTGGATTTATGAATGGCTGTTAAACATGGTTTTTTTTTGGTACAATCTCGGTGCAAGAGAACTGGGATTCAAGTTAAAGAAAAAGCAACGCTATATGAAATCCATAAGCCCGTAATTTTTCGCTATTAATATGCCACTCACATCATCGAATAGCATTATTCATTATAAAGCCATATGATCGATGAAGTCAGCCAAAGAATACTGACAAATGGAAATTCTGGTGGATAAATTCAAATTCTAGAGATATTTTCAAGCTTAATTCTTTGTTAGCTTAATAAACGTATTTTTTAATATCTATATAAATTCGGAATATTTTGAATCTAATAATTTGTTGTATAAAATTTATTTTTTAATAGAATCTACAACAATCTTTCAATTTTTGTTCATTTTTTAAACTTAAACAAACTTCTTTTTGGTTGTACTTTATAAAGTCCTTTACTTATTACTTCAGTTATTAATTTCCTTATAATATTAATATAATACTAATAAATGTCAAAACCTTTTCTTTTAGGCCAAGTTAAGTTTGGCAGCTGAATCAAGGCAACAAATTGGGGTACGGTATAGCGATTTATTTTAATTAAAAGCTGTTGGCATTCTGCGTGAGCTGTAAAAATCGCTAATTAAATTAAGCGACGCCAGATGAGGCCGAAAAGAGAGGGAGGTGTGGCGCATAAGAAACAGGAGGGGGAGGAGCAGAAGGTAACAAAGAAGGAGGGCTTCTTATCAAAAGGCAGAAAGCCAAATAGAAGTGAAACGTGCGAAGAAGGACGGCCAAGAAGAAGGCGACAAGAAAATTGGATTATGTGGTTAAGCGGCGTCTAGCAGGAATTTTTCTTCATTTGCCTCGCCTCCTCCTCCACCTCCTCATTGGCCCCGCCTCCCTTTTGCGCCTGTTCCGTTACAATAAAATTCTTGTGCGAAAAGGCAAAGTGGAACAGGCAGGAACACACACACACACTTGCGCACTCGGCGAGCCGAACGAATGAACGAGTGAAGCAAACGAACAAAGACGAAGGCGAAACAGCAAAATAACCGCAATGCGGCAAATGAAACGGTTATGGAAGAAAACAACAAAAGACAGGCGCCGATAAAAGTGCCAAGCGCGAAAAAAGCTGAAATCGGAAAGAAACGGGAAGAGGCAGAGAGCGAGAAAGACAGAGCGACGCAGCACAAAACGAAACTGATAACAAATGTGCAGACTGAGACAGAGTGAGATAGAGAGAGGGAGAACGAAATAAGTGCACACAGCAAGAGAGCGAAAAGTGTGTGAAACGGTTATGAGAGAGAAACGGTTATGCGCAACTAGAAGAGAAAGAGAGAGCCAATGAGAGCGACAAAATTCCGAGCCGCAAGAATTTTTTCAGCGTTTCCATGGCCAATTTTAACCTCACTTTTTGCGGCCAAATGTGCGGTAAATAAAAAATACAATCAGAAAGAGTAAATAGAGTGAACGGCCAAAGAACGAACGGCGGGGCAAAGCGAAGCGGCCAAGAGCCGGCAATTTTGTGTTGTTCATCGCACACACATTTTCCACTGATAAGGGAAAAACTGAGGCAGGGAGCTTTTCCATAATTTGCGGGGATCTTTCAGAATGGCTGCGCGTGTGCCTTTGTTTGAATTCCGCTCATAAATGTTTAGCAAATTTGCCAAAAGCACATTAGATTTATGGCCGAACACGAATTTTCCCATAGAGAAAATTGCAAGCACAAAATAGAAGAGGAGGAAGAGCAACAAAAATGAGGTGTTGCTCGAGATGCTGATAAGAATTTCCACATTTCCATGCCTGATTGGATTTCGCCAGGGGAGCGGTTCCAATCGGTGGAAGTTCGAGCGTCATGGAATTATTATATTTCAACCTGATCGAGAGTTAATATTCTTGTGTATGTGTAAGCTTGAAATTATGGCTGTGTGCGTGTATATGGCAGCCTTGGGAAAATTATTTTGACGAGTGACGTGACATGTGTGTAAATTCTTGCTATTGGCATTGGGTTTTAGTTTTTTAATTGCACCACTTTTTTTATCTTTTAATTTTTTGAGTGACCCCCGGTTGTGTAAAGTTCAACTCTCTTTTTTAATGGGGTTGAAAAATGCAGTGTGTGTGCCAGGGGGTGAACTGCAGTGGAACTTTACAACTTTGTTGTAAGAAATTAATTACATTCTTGGTAAATATTTAAAAATTGTAATTTTAAGATTTTGTTAAGTAAAACTTTTAAAATTTCTTTTTTTTCGACATTCTTTTTAAACTATTTCAACTAGTACTTTAGGATATGTTTTCATAAGACATTTAAGTTTTATTAGTATTGTAATTATTAATGTACCTCTATAATTAATATCATATTCATAAAATATACAGTTTTATATCAGATTTAGTTTTATTTTGAAAGTAAACAAAAAAAAACGCACTATATATTTAAAATTTTACATTTTTCACTCTCACAGAATATTATTATTATTTTGTGGTTTAAGTAACGGTATTTTAACTGCAAATTCAGTGTTTTAGGCTGTAATTTTTTTAACAAACCAGTTTTTCCTACCCGCTAGAGTAATATATTTTTCGGGGTGCGAAAATTCACGAATTTTAGGATACTCGGGGACAGCTGCTTTTCGACGGGGTGTTTTTGGGGAGATTATTAGGTGTGCGAGCCTTGGTATGTGTGTGTGTGCATGTATAGAAAGCCGTTAAAACCATATAAACAACATCTAATTGGAAGCCATCACCATTCCCCTCTCGCTCGCACTAATGGTAATTACCTTGGCTGCTGCTGTCTGACTTTGATTTTTCGCAAAAACTGTGTGTGGAAATTTCAATGGAAAATGGCCCGCACGTTTGTGTAAACACAAAAAGCCGAGAGATGCACATGTTTTTTCTACCACACATGTACATATTCTATATTCTATATTCTATATATATATTGGCCCATAAACTTACCATTTTTGTAGGTTTTGTTGTAGTTTTTGTTGCTAAGAAAGTGACAAAGTTTTAATCCGCTGCGGCGACGGTTGGTATGTGTGTGAGTGGAATTACGGAACGCGCGTTTAACTTTATTTTTTACTAATTAACACACTGCAAAAAGAGAGAGCAAGAAGAATGGATTTTTGTTTAGGGTCGCTGCTGGAACTGTAGGGGTGGTGGATGAGAGAGCCTGGAAGAGGAAAGAAACTGCCAAGCCTGCTTGGAAAAGAAGCGACGAAATTCGGCACAAAAAAGAGACAGGGGTAAATAATACGAAAAAAAAACTACACCGCGACGACGCTTTTTTCCTCGCCGTGGCAGTTTCTTAATTCTGTAGATGTAGATGTAGCTGTAGTTGTTTTCGTTGTTCCGAATTTAATACAAATTTTCGCCTTGCGTTTCTTTCATTTCTTTTAATTTTTTTAGTGGCTTTCATTCGTTTTTTTTTTTTTTTTTTTTCATCTATTGTGCGAAATATGCCAAACACACGCGCGCACACGGCAGAAATTCTCGTTTATATAGTAGATATGTGGCGAGGAGGAGGAGGGCTATATTCGGTTTTTATACAGATATTCGTTTCATTTTTTTTTCGCCCGTTTTCAAGTATTTCGGCGTTGGTTTTCTTTGGGTTTTGGGTGTTTTTTTTTTTTTTCTAAACGTCTAGAACGGAACTTTGCCAGCTCTCCGCCTGCTGATGCTCTCTGTCTCCGCCTCAGGTACTGGTACTTATGTTATATCAACTCACGATCCTAATCTGATTTTCCGTCCGCAACGGTCGACGATTCAAAAATTTTTGCCCGAATTTATTTGTGTTCCCGACTATATACGCTGTCGCGAAGAAAGAGGCACAGCGAGGCAGCAAAGAGCAGAAGAGCGAACCGGTTAGAGAGTAACTTGGAGAGCGTAAACAGTGATGGCAAATATGCTATTCCCGTCATATTAGCCTTTTTTGGCGGGAAAAATTCTCACGACTGTAACAATTTTTCCTGTTTCCCTCCAAAAAGAAGCGGGAAAATGAAGTAGTTTTTGAGCAAGTGAGTTTAAGGGAAGAGCGAAAAATACGCCTTTTTGAGCAAACAAAGGGAGAATTTAATTTTCTATTATATACCTCTTATTTAAACTGCAAGATATAAGCTAATTAAATAATAATAATATATTTTACACAAATTTACACTGTTCTTAAAATGAAAAATGATATGACTTGACCCGAATAAAATTTAATTTGTCGCTAAAGCGGTCGCGCCGGCGCTTTGGCAGATCTGTGCAAACAGCGATAGTATTATCGATACTTTTAATCGATAGCCTTTCGGCGGTTATTTTGGTGCACTTTTAAAAAATGTAAACGGCTCAGTTCAGACTACTAATATTAATACCATATAAAAACAATACACTTGAGCAATGTTTTTATAAAAAGAATTACAAGTTTCTGATAATGCATTAGCAAGGGTTTCGGGCACGTTGCCTTAGCCTTTTTTAAATTTTTATATCCTTTCAAGGTACATTTATTTGAGTATGAAGGAGTCATATATATATTCTTGATCAATCTAGCCATCTCAGGACAAAAAATTAAATGTACAAGTTTAAATTTTCAAAAATTGGCAAAAATTTCTTAAATTCTTAAATTTTAAATTGAGTTTGCATAGTTATTATATTAATGAGCCTAATTAAAACTAATATAAAAAAGCTTTTTAAATTGAAACTAATGGTTTTTGGCTTAGTTGTGCTTAATTTAATTGCAGACTTCAGTTTTTCTTCTTTTTTCAAATTACTATTAAAATTTTTAAACTAAAACACGATTTAATAAAAAAAATTAAAGTCCTTTTTTAAATAAAAGTTATAATATGAAAACAAGACCGATATGTTGCATTTATTTGAAATTTTCTGACAAATTTCGAAACGATTATCTTTTGGATTTTTAGATGTGTATATTTGCCAAAGTACAAAAATTTTTTTTTCTTGTTTTATTTAAAACAAGTGTTATTTATGTTGTTATTATGCCAATTTTAAATTAATTGGTTTATTTTTTAGCAGGCAATTTGGCACCTTCATTTTCTTCAGATCGTTTTGCAATGAGACTGACCCTCTTCAAGAAGGCCTCCCTGCTTACCACACTGGATCTCCGAGAATCCTCGAGGATCAGGCGCTTGGTACTATATAGATCAACGTTGCCCATAGATGGGTCACGACTCCGTTGAATCCCAGTCAAAGTGCTGCGCGAGATGGCAAAATTGTTGTTGGGTTGCTGATTAGTTAGGCTTGAAGATAGGCGGGCCTCCCGCATCCTCTCCTTGACCTTTTCCGTCTCAAACTCTTCGGCATCGAAGTGGACATCGGCCTTGGGCAGTATTATGACCGTAGCTCTTGTTGAATAAAAGGCCAGCTCATCGAAGTTCATGTTCTTGGTTTTAATCAGCTCGGAGAAGGCCAGTTTGGCCTCCAGCTGCTTGGCCTGGGATCGCTTGAGGCGATAAAAATCTTCCCTTTCGAACTCCTCTAGCTCACCGGTTATATAAGTGGAGGTATTTTGCAGAATTGGTATTACCTAAGGGTGGGTAAAATATAAAAATTGATTTTTACAATAAATAAATATAATGTAATGTCTCAATAATTACCACATGTTCCAGGGCGTTGACTCGCATGTTGGTCTGCAGCGAGGCCGCTTCCAGCATCCGCACCTGGACAATAATGGAGGCACATGCTACCAATTCGGCGAGTGCCTTGGTAAATTTTTCCCTGATCCGGTTGACTTGGGATCCACCCACGCTGAGTCCGGCAAGTGGAAATCCTGTGCCGCCGCCACTTTTCACCTCCAGCTCCAGGCAGTTGAGTGTGACACCCACGATCTTGGTCTGAGTTCGACGTATATTTAGAGTATCCGCCTTGCTGCTGCTCACTATTTGCGGCCTAAAATCGGCGCCCAGGATATGGGCCTTGGCCATTGAAAAGATCGCCTCCCGCATTGCCTCATCAACCTCTTCGTCCTTTTCATTCATAAACCGCTTTAGTTCGCGTAGCTTCATGTCGATGGCATCCCGCTTCCGCTTGAGCAGACCCACACCTCTCCTGGCCGCCAGGACGCGTTGTTTCATGACCACGGAGTTGGCCCGCGATGGGAAGATGGGCAGGATGTCACGCTTGGCCATGTTGATATTGGGAAGGGCCCGGGGGGAAATAGATTTTCACTTTTAAATTTAGATGTCAAAGTGATGAGATGTTAAAATATCCATAGTTCAGATTCCTCTGAAAAGTTAATCAGTTACAAATTTTTTGGAATAATTTCTGTTTCTTTTTTGGCAAGGAAAATTATGGAATAAAAAGGTCATGTATATGATTTATTTAAAGTTTATATCTTAAAAACTCAGCAAAACTTATAAAATACGTTTTAAAATGTATGTAATCAATTATTTTCTCATACAAATATACATTTCTTGGCAAATAAAGTACTACTTTCAAATATTACTCATACGCAGTGTTGTATTGCAGAAGCTTTATGTTCACCAAATATTGATTCTGAAGTTAAAGTCTTAATTTTACTGAAAAAATTCGTATAATTATATGTATTATATATTATTTACCTTTTATTATTTTTTTGGAATTTAAAATTACTTTGAAATATTACTCATACGCAGTGTATCCTTGCAGAAGCTTTATGTTGATCAAATATTGATTCGGAAGTTAAAGTCTTAGTTTTACTGATAAAATTCTTTATAATTAGATGTATTATATATTATATATTTAATTTTATTTTTTGGAATTTAAATTGCATTTTTTTTTAGTGAGAAAAGCTTTAAGACAAAGAATCTACCCTGATCCCGACACACTCTTTGGCTAACCAACATTAGCCATAGGTAAAGCTGTTCTTAAATTTTACAGATGTATCAAGACGAATTTACTTTAACATAATCAGTATAAATTGGGTAGTATAAAGCTAAAAATTTTTTTAGTTAAATAGAATATATATGAATATAGTGTTTATATAATTGCAGGCAATCAATCCGATTCTTAATCTTGAAATCTATATAAAATTTAAGCCAACAGAATTTTGTGTAATATTGTGTAATATATATTTTGGTTATCCAAAAGATTCCTCTGTCCGTGGGATTAAGCGTGGGCAACACTTGGCCCACAAATCTGTGGCCGGGAGTAATGGCAACGGATATGCGTATGCAATTACCATGCAGAATATATGTATATGGCAAGCTGGTTGGTGGACAGCTCGTATGGCCATTCCACTGGGATTGCACATTGGACACTTGGACACTTGGACAGTTGGACATTTGGCCATTTTGCGCAATTTTCCAGCTGCTGTACGATTTCCTCAGCATTTTTGCCGCAGCGAATTGTCGCAATGTGGCGCCGCTTGGTGCAACGCAGGCCTTGGCGCATTTGCCAACGCATGCCAACAAGTTAAGTATGTTAACCTCTGGAAAATTAGACATGGACACTATGTAGTGTTAAGGGTGGTTGCTTTGGTGGTATAGGTAACGAAAATGAAAATGAAGTAACAATGCAGCAAACATCGGCTGCCAGGGGGAGAGACATTCTGTAGTTGTCGTTGTCGCTTGGCGACGACAGCAATGCGCCATTTTTCGTTCGACCCGCAAGACATGAAAATTCGGCTTTCCCTTGCCTTTCTCCCTGAGTGTGTGTGTATGTGTATGTGTGTGAGTGTGCGTTTTCATTCTCTCTGTTGGATTTTTCGCAATCGCAGAGGAAGCCACCAGTTTTCCTTACACGCTGGGTAGCAAAATTTATCGCAAGTCGATAAGAAATCAAAAGAAATTGCCTTACATGTTGTATATCTTTTAAAAATAAATTTTACTTACAAGCTGTTGGTTTATATATTTATGTTGTATATATGTTGACTTTATCAATGTTTAACCAGGCGCAATTTATTATCATCTTATCTTGTTGATGTTTTAAACAGATTTTCTTTTACCTTTACGATAGTTACCTCATTTTCTTTGCTTTGTTACCCTGATAAATAATAGTTTCCTGTATAATTTCTTGACATATTATTATACAAAATTAATATTTTTATATATTTTTATTGCAATGAATTCTATTTTTATCCTTCCTTCTACATTGATCACGAAGCAAAGGAGAGGTTATCCTCGTTTCCGTAGCGAAAACAAATGTGAATGTGCGATAAATGCTAAATAAACACGATTTAATTGCAAGCAAACATTTGTCTTTGCTCTTAGGGGGATTATTAATTTGCATATCTGCTTAAATGTGCGCACATTCATGAATATTATGAATATGAACATTAAATGCTACAAAAGTATGCTATGCCAACACGGGCAAATAATATGTAAAACAAGGGGAAACACTTTTGTACAACCAAGACTTTAGAAAAAGGTTTTGAGGGTTTTTTTTTATTAATAATATATTTTAATGTAATAAGTTGTTTCTGTATTAAGTGAAATTTTCTGATTTGGCATTTAGATTATGTAAATCTGGACTAAAATCATGTATATCCCTTTCACGGCATTTTGTTACATTTCAATATAAAATTATTTATAAATACCGAATTTTTGAAGCGAATTGATAATATGTATTATATTTAAACTAGATTCTTAAATGTTTTGGCAAATAGTACACATAATATTCTCATGTAAGAATTCCATTAAGTTTACAATCAATAAGCCGTAATTTCACTAAATTTATTACATTTTAATAATACTTATTTAGTTCTTTATTATTATTTTTGGTATATGAATAGTACATTAAAGATGTAAGATCAATTATGAATATTAACTGTAATAATGTACTATTAATTATTGTTTATAATTAATATTACTTTCCCTTTTTGCCCTTGCCCTTGGCGGCACGTCGATTCCTCTTGCGCTGATCCTTCTTCCATTTGCGCCAATATTTCTGAATCATGGTCGCCGCTCGGTTCATCATGAAGACCACTAGCTTCTCCTGCTGAATACGACGCTCCTCCTCCTCCCGCCTCACTACAATGTTCCTGTAGATACGCTCCTCATGCCGGAACTGGATCATAAAGTCATCGAGCACCTTCTTGGCCAGCAGATACTGATCCTCCATGGCAATATTCGCGCGCATCTTCTCACCCAGACTTGAGTCGTATTTCTTGAGAAGACTTTCTAGTTGCAGGAGCAGTTTGTTTCTGGTTAGGTAAATAAATATTTTATACATATATTAAAGGGAACATTTAAGCATTTTACTTTTCACTCCTCAAGTCTTGCTCCTCTTGAAGGTTTTTCTTGGTCATCGCTTCGTAGGCTTCCCTGGCAGCATTCAGCTCCTCCTCCAGTTCCTTCTGTCTGTCCATGCTGCCCTTGTGGTATAAGCGCATAGTACGATTACATTTTTCACTGAAGAATATAAGTAAATTTGCGATATTAGAAAAAATCATAATTTAAGGATAAAATAAAGAGTGAAAGACTGTAATGAAAACTCCCAACTTACATCTCATTTTGAATGGCCACATTATTTTGCCACTTCTTGTTGGCCAGATCATCTTCCACCTTCATCAGGTATATACCCTTGGCAGCCGTCTTCCACTTGCCAACAACCTTTTGAAATGCCAAACTGGCCTTTATATCCAGAATCTTCTTCTGTATATCCACATTCTGATGATAGATGGCATGCAGCTTGCGCTCCTTGGTGATCTCACTCCTCGAAGATCGATTCAGGTGGACATGGGCACTCTCAACGAGGAAGTGAAAGGCGGCCAATACTTGCCGATCTCGATCCTCCAGATTTCTCATCAAACGTGGAAAGAATCGATAGATTTGATAGTTGACCAGAAAAAAGTCCACAATGCGCATGGTGGTGTGATCATGGGGCAGCTTGGAGCGTCCAGTTTGAGTGCCCAGATGATGGATCATCTTCTCGATCGGTCCCAAAATTTCCTCATAGCAGGTGTTTGTGAATACGCTCTTCAGGTTTTCGGCATTCTCCAGAAGCTTGGGTATAATCATAGCAATCTTAATACGTTCCTGAGATAATTTTAGCACTCTTTCCACACCCTCCAGTCGGGCCTTTCGCTCGGCGGTTTTATCTGGGAATAGTTAAATATAATTAATAATTATTATACTATTAAATATATATTATACTTTTAAAATTTGTCTCCGACCAGTAAGTAGTTATGACCAGTAAGAAACTATGATCAGTGAGTATCTATGACCAGCGAGTATCAATTACTAACATTGAACACTAATAAACAATGACTTGCAACTTTTGTAACACAACACTTCTCTGAGACTTGGCCGGCAGCAGTCACTTCGTTCCGGGGATGTTAGAACAAGTTGGGAATTATATGCACAGATGTGCGAGATTTGTTTTGGAACAAAATTAAGCTATTTGAATGAAACTATTTATTTATTCGTCTATATAATTTTACTATTATATAAATCGGAGCATGGCGAATCGGTCGACTATATATATACATATATTTAGCTGCCATAGGAACGATCGGACGATTTATAGAAATATGATCAGTAAGTATCAATGAACATCAATTAACTATGACTATTAAGTAACTATGAGCAGTGATTAGCTATGATCAGTGAGTATCAATGAACAGTAAGTAGCTATGACCAGTAAGTATCTATGACCATAAGTAACTATGAAAAGTAATTAACTCTGATTAGTAAGTTATGATGATCCGTAAGTTACTCTGATTAGTAAGTTTCAACATTAAGTAGCTATGGCCAGTAAGTATCTATGAACACTAATAAACAATGACTTGCAACTTTTGTAACACAACACTTCTCTGAAACTTGGCCGGCAGCAGTCACTTCGTTCTGGGGAGGTTAGAACAAGTTGGGAATTATATGCACAGATGTGCGAGATTTGTTTTGGAACAAATCTAGGCTATTTGAATTAAACTATGGAGTTATTCGTCTATATAATTTTACTATTATATAAATCGGAGCATGGCGAATCGGTCGACTTTATATATACATATATTTAGCTGCCATAGGAACGATCGGACGATTTATAGAACTATGATCAGTAAGTATCAATGAACATCAATTAACTATGACTATTTAAACTCAAATTTAATTAGAAACTTATAGTTTCAAGAAGAAGAACAAAAATAATTGTGTTTGCTACGGTGCTTAAGTACACTGATTGAGAAGCGCAGAGGAGGGCACTTTTTTGAGAGATAAGTGAATGCGAGGAAAGTGTTATTTTTGAGAGAGAGTAAAAGAGAGGCAAACAAAATTTGGTTTTTTGAGAAACGTAGGGAAGGTCTCATTGTTTATTTTGGAATAATGAGAATTTAAGTTAGTAAAAAATATGTGATAAATCCGTAAAATTAATCAAAAATATAACATACTGACCCTTGGTTTTTGTTCTTTTTTAAATATCTATAACCAGTAATTAACTCTGAACACTAAGTATCTATGAGCATTAAGTAACTATAGTCAGTAAATATCTATGACCAGTAACTAACTCTGAACAGTGAGTAACTATGACCAATAAGTAACTATGATCAGTAATAATCTTTGACCAATAAGTATCTATGACCAGTAAGTATGTAAGATCAGTTACTAACTTTGAACACTAATAAACAATGACTTGCAACTTTTTTAACACAGCACTATTCTGAGACTTGGCCGGCAGCAGTCACTTCGTTCCGGGGATGTTAAAACAAGTTGGGAATTATATGCACAGATGTGCGAGATTTGTTTTGGAACAAAATTAAGCTATTTGAATGAAACTATTTATTTATTCGTCTATATAATTTTACTATTATATAAATCGGAGCATGGCGAATCGGTGGACTATATATATACAGATATATAGCTGCCATAGGAACAATTGGACATTTTAAAGAACTATGAAACGTATGTAACTATGATCTGTAATTAACTAAGACCATTAAGTAACTATGAGCAGTGATTAACTATGATCTGTAATTAACTAAGACCATTAAGTAACTATGAGCAGTGATTAACTATGATCAGTAAGTATCTATGACAAGTAAGTATCAATGACCAGTAAATATCTATGAACACTAATAAACAATGACTTGCAACTTTTGTAACACAACACTTCTCTGAAACTTGGCCGGCAGCAGTCACTTCGTTCCGGGGATGTTAGAACAAGTTGGGAATTATATGCTCAGATGTGCGAGATTTGTTTTGGAACAAATTAAGGCTATTTGCACTAAACTATGGAGTTATTCGACTATATAATTTTACTAGTATATAAATTGGAGCATGGCGAATCGGTGGACTATATATATACATATATATAGCTGCCATAGGAACGATCGGACGATTAATAGAACTATGATCCGTAAGTAACTAAGATCAGTTATTAACTATGACCATTAAGTAAGTATGAGCAATGATTAACTATTGTCCGTAAATATCAATGAACAGTAAGTAACTTTGACCAGGAAGTATGTATCTATGACCACAAAGTATCAATGACCAATAAGTATGAATTTTCTAGTTTTCAGTCGATTTCATTAAATTTAATTTATAGCCATTGTATATTAAAAACGAACTACTATATCATATAGCAGCCATACAAACGATCGTTAAAAATAGAGGAAATTGCAAAGCGGTGAATGTAAAACTGTAGATATGAACTGTATAGGTGAATGAAATGAAAGCAGGCATAACTTTATTGTTTTTTAACATAGATAGTTAGCTTCCTTTCATTTTATACTTTCAAGTTTAAACTTACCCATTTTGGGGTTATATCTTGCCAATTCTTTAAAGTTTTTGTGGCTTTACAGCTTGGATTTATGCTTTAGTTAAAAGTTCTATGTAATATGTATCCGATTGTTAGAATTCCTTGTTACTTGTTTATATATCTAATGCATTTTGAAGAGCTTGATTTTTCTAACGCTTCTAATTCCCCTTTTTCTTTTCCCTGTACTAATATAATTTTATATTGAAAGTCAGTATTTAGTTTATAATTTGTTAGTTGTGTGTTTTGTGTGTTCTCAAATCAAGTTATTGTGTAGCTCTGAGCTGTATATATTATTATTTTGATGGATAAACAAAACGGCCTGCTATGTTGTTGCTTTGGGTTACAAATCCTTCCCCCTTTTTTTCGATCGTCAAGTGACTTGAAAACAAAAGGGCGATGTGATGACGGGCGGAATAGCAGTTTTGAATGGCGTTTTCATGGCGCTGCCTGGCTGAAAACTTTGGCCAAGTGCAGTAGTTGACAATGAAGTGGGGTGTGGTGCTGCTGGGTGGTTCTATGGTGATTCTAGGGTGGTTCTAGGGTGTCTTTTGGGTGGCTCCTGGGGTCTGAAGGGGGCGGTTATTTGCTTGTGTGTGGCCATGTCGCATTATGTCAACTGGCGTGGCATGAATGAAAGCTGCAGCAGCAGCAGCAGCAGCAGTAGCAGTGCAGAAGGGAAGAAAATAAAAAAGAAAAACTATAAGAGCATGAAACGAACTTGTGAATGCAGAACAATGTTGCTCGAAGGAGAAGGGGGTGGTGTGTGTGCTTGCGAAAAGTTCGTCACTCAGGTGGAAAATCCACCTAATGAAACAGCCATGGAAATAAAAGGGGGAAGCCCAAGAGAAAGCATTAGCCTTCGGTGGATCTGCCAAAAATCACGTACATATGTACTGGCAAATATAAGTAAAATGAACATATTGTTTAAGATATATAATTTTAATATAAAATAGTAATTTATTTGCTCATTATCATCTTTGAAACTTTTCAAAATATGAGGGTTGAGTTTAAAATGTACTTTTCTCCAAGGAAAATAGATATAAAAGAGATATTATCTTTTGAAAACCCATGTGTTATGACCTCAAATTCAAAATAATAGAATTTAATAATCTATAGGTTAGTAACTATATTTATTTGTACTTTAACATTAAAAATAATTCATTAAGTTAACCCCAATTGTATTTTAAAGTACAGGTGCACCTTAGCTTAATTTCAATTCCATTTCGTTTCGACCTTTATTCCCAATTCTGTTCCATTTTGTTTCCCGTGCTACGCCATCCATCTCCTCTTTCCACTTCCATATTTGCCAGGGTGAAACGCAACAAGTAAGAAGAAGCAACTGCGCCGAGGCCAAAAAGTTTCCAGGCACCAGCATATCCAAAAAAAAAAACAGCAACAACAACAATAAGGACAACAAGGACAACAGCGATGACAAAAATGAATGGCGAACATTTGCTGAAAACGTCGCAAAGTACCAAGTCCTCTTTACCACCTCCTGCACACACACAACAAATAAAATGGAAAAGAAAATAAAACAAGACCTGCTTGTGTGCGTAAAATGCTGCAATGCGAACAAGCAGCAAAAAGGAAAGCCAGAACAAGAAAAGAAAATAAAATTGAGCAAGAAATAATATTTGTTGTTGTCTTTCGCAGGGCTCGCAAGAAAAGCGATGAACGATAGAGATACCAAGAGAGGCCACCATCAAGCAGAAAAGTCAAAAGAAATGACGCATAAGCAGAGCAACAAGAGAGTGTCGAGAGAAAAGGACTTGCAGAAGCAAGGACTTAAATTTCCCACAGAGAGACAACGAGAGTGCCCCTCGTTTTATGCAGCAAAATGTTTCAAGGCGAGAGAGACCAACAGAGAGCGCCTTGGAGTAGGCAACGGTTTAAGAACCGATTGGCCAGAGAGAGCTCATGAGAGCGCGCTCAGAAAAGTATGCAGCAAAATCATCTGCTCCACATACGTAACAAATGGCCATGCAAAGCGCCATCGCAGAAAAACGCTAACGGTACTGCAAAGAACCTGCAGCCCAAAAGGCAAGGTCCAATATGGCTCTCCCTCTGTCTGTATTGTTCTCAAGCGCTCTCTCTCTCTCTCTGGTGGCCCACATTCGCTCAGCTGGGCTGCTCGAATTTACCGTTAACCGATTACAGGCCCTGGCTCATTATGTTCCGTTGGCTTGGTATTGTTGTATATTTTTATAGTCCCTTACTCGACTGTTTCTTTTTAAGTTCCCCTTTCTTTTTTTCGCCGTACTTTTATTTTATTTTTTTCTCGCCTTCTGGCCTTCTTCCCTTCCCATCTACAGTTATGCTTGGCTTGGCCGCATTGCAGCTATAAATTTGTTTGTGGTTCACATTTGCCTTGGAAGATTACTTTTGGGCATAGTCGCAGCTCCAAGGGAAGAAGAACCATAGAGAAAAAAGGGGAAGTGGAGAAGGGGTCGAATACCGTTGGAACAATGGACTCAAGGAAAGGGAAACGAGAAACAAGAAACGACAAACTAACTGTGCTCGCCGTCGCTTTTAATGGCGACGCTGCTCTGGGTTGGTTCTTTGGGGTGGAAACCCCATAAAGAACCTTTTTTGAGAAAGTGTTATTATAATGCTCGGTTCGGTCTGCCAACGGGAAGGTCAGGTTGTTTGGATTCCGCCAGAGGAAACTAAAAGATACTATATACCCATGGGTTTTCCCCTTTAAGCGGAATGGCAAAAGATTTCCGCGATAAAATAGGGATTACGGGGCGGTTATGGAAAAGTTTTTCTGTGATGATAAAATTGTAGTTTCTTTAAATCTGAGTATTATTTTTTTTGTAATATAAATTTTAATGGGTAGGAAATATAATGATTACAATTTTTTTGTATCAAAATTATACATTACGCTAAGCATTTATTATAGAATTAGAAGAACTACAACTAGCTTTAGAATCTCTTAATATAAAATGCTCTTCGTTTGAATAATTATATATTTTAAACTTATAAAAATAAATATATATTTTGTTGAAATTAAATATATAAACCCTTTAATATGGGTTTCTTTATAGTCAGCTTCATATGAAAGATATTATGCCTTCCTAGAATAAATTTCATAGTTTTTATAATACATTTTCTGTGTAAACACAACTAATTAAATTGAATTCCAAATAAAAACCACATTAATCAATATAAAATACAAATTTCAAACCAATTTAAAGGAAAGGCTACAATTAAAGCCATTTTCCTACCAATTTCCTTATAAGCCTCCTTTTGTAAATGATTTTTCCAATGAAAAAGGCAAAAAAATGAGAACCCAAATGGATAATTTTCCCTTGGAAAACCGTCATAGTTTCCTTTTACCACAAAATTCGGCTGTTCTCGGAAGGCATTCAATTGGCCGTTCAGGATCCATTTGGCCGGTCACCTGCTTTTGTCACCTGAGCGAGGACCAAAAAGGGAACGCTCACATTTGGGAATCCTTGGTAAGTGGAGGGCGCCACGCCCACCTGAACAAGTTTCTGGTGAATTTTTCATGGCTTTCGCTTCTCTCCTGTCTTATATTTTCCAATATATTTCTTTTTTTGCCTGGGGATTTTGTTCCTGCCTCGTTTCCGTTCGGCAGTTACACTTTTGGACTTTAGTTTTGGATCTACTCGGTGGCAGTCTGGCATGTATTTCGAGTTGGTAATGTTGGGTACTTGCACTCAAGTTGCCCCCAGAACCGAGCACTGAAAACTGAAAACTTTTGGCTTTGGCTTCCGTTTGGTTTGACTTGCCAACCTCCTCCTACACTGGCCTCTGTAATTTGAATTTTCTGAACTGTGAAGCGAGCGAGTCAGGAACAAAGTGTCGTGGAAGGCCCTGGAAAGAGTTAACTTGGCTAATAAAGCGAAGCCAGCAAAATCCACCCCACTCACCGCTCGACCTGTCTGTTTCACAATTCCTTTTTTTTGCTTCTATTAGAAAAGTTTTTGTTCGCTTTGGCGCACAATTTTTACTTTTCCCTCTTTATTTTTTTTTGAGTTTTTTGATAATTTAATAAACTAGCAAAAGTTGAGAGAGAGATTTAACTTTCGCTATGCTTGCAAAAATAAATGAAATTCAAAATCACATAGCTATGTCGGAGCAAGGATTCCATGTCCTTGGCTTTTCGGTAAAGTGTTTCACAAAACTTTGATTGAATTACTTGCAGTTATTGGTTTGTCAGGCAATAAAGTTGCTCAAAGAGGTTGTTAGATTTGGAGGTTTTAAGCGGAAAATATTATTTAATTTATAGTTACTTTTTATAAAGAATAGGAAAGGTAGCTAACCTTGGGAAGCCGAAAACTTAATGTACAATTAATCATAACTTTGCCAAAAATGCATTAATTTCAATTCGGAAAGCTGTTTTATGTTAGTTTTTATTTGGTTAACAAATCTGCATACCAAGTTTTAAAAATAAATAAATTAAATTTTTTGTCAAAATTTGAAAATTTTAACGATGTAAAATCTCTTATAAAAATCACTTATAAAATTTTCGGAAATTCGAAAAATTTATTTTTTGACCAGACATGCCTAAATCGACTCTGCTGTTGATGCTGATCAAGAATATATATAATTTATAGGGTCGGAAATGACTCCTTCACTAAGTTTAAGGATTCTGACTAAAATTAAAACACCCTGAAAAAGTATAAAATTGGTTTTCGATTTAAGATAAGTCTAGAATACATGGCGTATACTTAACGTGAAAACCTTTAAGGGAGAATAGCTTACAAATTTATAAAAATAAGTAGTTCCAATTAAAAGCAAGCTTGGAAATTCAATTGTAAGATGGAATCGAAAATCGATCCTAACTTAGCTTTAAAGGGCAATTTTTTCGACAAATCAAAATTTTAAATTTCTCATAACTTTGTCAAAAAAGCCTTAATCGTCACTTGGAAAACAGTTCTATGTTAGTTTTTATTAGATTAACAAATCTGCATACTCAATTTAAAAATTTTAAAATTCTAATTTTTGCCAATTTGTAAAAATTTTAATGATAAAAAAATTTTTTAAATATCGAAAATTTTTTGAAATTTATTTTTTGACCAGACATAGCTAGATCGTTTAGGCTGTTCATATTGATCATGAATATATATGATTTATAGCGTCGGAAATGACTCCTTCACTACGATTCATGCTTCTGACTGAAATTATCCTTATCTCTCAGTCTTTCTCTGATACTATAGAAATAATATTTAATTAAAGAAATCTTAGCATTAGTGGCTTAAATGACTTGCCTGTATTGGTTTGCATATTTTTGTCACGCACTATTCCCAAATCTTCCTTCCCATCCGCCAATTCTAGCCACTTAATTGTGATATTAGCAGA